GTGCCGCACATCGTAGTCCCCACCAATGGTGCGCAGTGCAGCTGTGGATACGGAAAGCAGCATGACATTGTTGCTCAGTCGCAGATCACCCCCAATGTGATGCAGCTCCCACGTGTTGATTTGCGACAGCGCTGTGCATCCCTGGACGATCAAGCTGCCATCCACGCGTGTGAGGGCGTTGAAGAACACGCTCTCGAGGCTGTTGTCGCCAATCAGCACAACATCGCCGCCAACGTGGCTCACGTCTGAAAAGTCAACGTTGGTGATGGCGTTGTAAGCGATGGTGATCGTGCCGCCCACGTGCGTGAGGCTACCGAACAGCACCTGCGTCGTGTCGGTTCGTGTCAGGTCCACATCGCCATGGATGACGCGAACGTGGCTGAAGTCAACCGTGCCAATGCCCGGCGTGTCACGTGGCAGTAGCACTGTCCCGCCAATGGACGTGATGTCGCCGAAGGAGACGGAGGTGAGAGCCGTGTTGTCACGCAGGTCAAGATCACCGCCGATCGACACAATGCTACCGAGGTTGATGGAGGTCAGGGGCGCCCCTGTGATGCGCACGTGCCCGCCAATTGTGCGCAGCGCACCGAAGTCCATTGACGCAAGCTGCCCACCGGACAGCACAATGCTCCCCAGCACGTCTTGCAGCGCCCCAACATCGGCGCTCGTTGCAGCCGTGGCGATATGCACGTCACCGAGCACGCGGCGGAGGGAGGTGAGCTCTGGGCAGCAGCAGTTGACGACGCTTCCAACCTGTGACACGCCGCTGGTGGGTATGGGGTTGCGTGACGCAGGGTCGCTGCAGTCGAGCGTCAATTTGGCCTCGTCGAGAAGCGCTTGCAGTGGCGTCGCTATGGTGTTGATCAAGGCCGTGACGTTCATGACAGCGACAGCGATGTCCACGCCACCAACCAAAACACGTGGTGCTCCACCATCGCCAGCATCTGTTTCTGCACTGCCATCGTGGGCGGTGTGAAGGAAGCACACATCCCGTTCGCTGTACATGTGCAGCTCGCCGCTGTTGTCATCAACAGCGATGCCCGTGAATGGCAGGCTGTCGGTTGAAGCGAAGGCAGGGGGATCGGTGCCATCATGGGTGTTGGAGAGTGGCAGCCCGATGGCTGTTGCCTCGGCTGGGAACGACTCTGTGAAGGACGATGGCAAGGTATCGGTGATGCCAAAACGCAGCCGATCCAGCGTGTTGCTTGCATTGACCAAGGCGGCAACGACATCGAAATCTCCCACACGCAGCGTGCCGGTGCGAGGGATGTGCAAGCGCAAGCTCCCCTGGGTGACGACATGCAGTGTGCCATCGTCGGCCGTCTCTAGCCAACCAGCGTGATCCGGCAGGGTAGCTGCATCATTCGATCGTGGTGTGCACGCTGGCATGAGGGAAGCAGCTGCCCATGTGGTTGCAGCTTTGCTCGCATCCTGGAGTTGCAGCAGGGTGTCTTCGTCGGCTGCAGGAAACAGCCGTGTCTCCTCTTGCATGGCCCACGTGTTGATGCTGCGCGCGACATTAGACATGTTCCGCAGTGCGTGTAGCAGGTCCACCTCCCCCACGAAGAGAGTTGGGAAAGGAGCGACCGCTGGGGCACCCATGTCAGCCGCTGTGCTGCATGGTGCCCACACCCGCGCGTCCGAAGTGGTCAAAATGTGCAGGTCGCCGTGCGCAGTCGCAGAAACATCCGTGAATGGTGCTGTTGCTGCTTCTGCTGTGGGCTGGCCCGTGGTGACCATGAGCGCAAGGCCGCCCACAATGCTGCCGGATGTGCCCGTGAGCGTGACGACGTGCTGCGTGCCATCTGGCAGTGGATCGCGCAGGGTGATGCGGCCCGTGCTGGCGTCAATGTCGAACATGCTGCTGCCCGGGCCTGTCAGGGTATAGGTGAAGCTGTACCCGGGGAAGTTGATGGCCTCTGGCGCGTCGAAGATGGGGGCACCACGCTGGTTGCGGGCGGGCGTGACCATGATGGTGTGCGAGGCTGGCCCGTTGAACAGGTCGTTGAAGACGCGGAGGCGATAGCTGATGGTGTCCTCTGCGCGGCGACGGCCGAGGAGGGTGAGGCGACTGCGCACGGCAATGGAGACAACCTGGCTGGATGTCTTGCGCACATTGAGTGTCTTGAGGGGCTCGTCGTTCATGATGACATAGTCGAAGTTGAAGGGCCCCGGGTTGGGCGAGGTCACGCTCACAAACACGTCGCTGTTGAAGCGAACCAAGGGTCGCAGTTGCCAAGTAGGTGGCGGTGGGGAGGTGTGTGTGAGAAAAGGGGGGGGGTGATTGTGGTTGTGTGCTTGGAACAGTTAACACGTAATGGCGCAGGCATCGCCAGCTCATCACACGCAATGGACAGGTAGAGAGGTAGAGAGGAAGACAGACAGACAGACAGAGAGACAGAGAGACAGAGAGACAGACAGACAGACAGACAGACAGACAGACAGACACACACACACACACACACACACACACACACACACACACAAACCAGCACTAGCAAATGACGTACGTCTCGTTGTCAAAGAGGTTGACTGGGTTTGGTCGGAAGAAGCGAATCTCACCAGGCTGCGTGTCGTTGATTTGGATCTGAACGCTGCGTGTCGTTGATTTGGATTTGAACGTGCAGTTCGTAGAAGCCACGTGAGTAAGGGGAGCGGGTGGGTTTGGGCGATGAGCCAGGGGAAAGGCAAGAGGCATGCACGATAACATAAGACAGGGAAGCAAGGCAAGAAGACAAAATTTGTGTGTGTATGTGTGCGGTGGCACACGACACGCACAGACACAGCCAGGCCGCCGCCCATACCTCATCGGTGGCACTGACAACGGCCGGCTGCTCGCAGTTTGCGCGGGAAATTTCTGCGGGGAGTTGGCTGAACGCCTGGAATGTGTCAATGAACTTGACGTTGTTCGTGATGGGCGGGCTTGCAATCATGTTGAGTTCATTCACATCCGCACCAGAGATGCCTGCACGCAACCAACGAGCGAACAGCAGCGTGAGAGAGAGAGAGAGTGAGTGAGAGAGTGTGTGTGTATCGGCGTGGGGGAACGCACATGCATCGGTAGTGTGCCATGTGCATGCAGAAAAAAACAAAAAAAACAAACGCAGGCCCAAACACATGTGCACGTGCACCCCCCGCGTGCAAGACGGCAGGGGCGTACCGATGGCGAAGATGTTGACGTTCTCATTGCGCAAGTTCTCGGCAGGCTGAGCAACAGAGTCGCCAGACTGGCCATCGATGATGACAATGGCCACTCGTGGCACACCAGCTGATGACGGGCGGGCCTGTGGCGCACGTGTGTAGTGGGGGATCACGTTTCAGCAGTGAGAGTGAGCACATGTGAGAGACAGAGAAAGGCAAAACGAAGGTGTTGCTCATTTCACACAGGATAAAAAGACAAACAATAGTGCAGGAACTCACGCCGCGAGATGTGAGGAACATGTTGGTGCGCGCGTAGTCGAGGGCACTTCCAGTGCGGGTGCCGCCTTTTCACAAAGCAAGAGCATTACAAGGAGAAGGTGAGGATGGGGGAGCAGATGACACGAAGAGCACCAAAGATGGTGTGGCACAAGCAGGTACGCGGGCAAGCACCCATGATGGGACAGGGAGCACACACACATGCACACGTTTGCACACACACCCACACATGTACACGTTTGCACACACACACACACACACACACACACACACACACACACACACACACACACACACACACACACACTGACCGCCTGGGTAGTTGGTGTTGCGAATGGTGGTGATGATTTCGTCCCTGGTATTGGAGAGGACATAGCTGAAGTCGAAGATTTCCGTCACGCTTGACGAGTACACCATGAGTGCAACACGCGTGGTGTCGGGCGAAACGTCGAAGAACGAGGTGACGGTGGCGGTGAACTGGCGCATGGTCTCAAAGTTTGAGGAGCCAATGGACCCGGAGCCATCGAGGATGAAGAGCAGGTCGACCGCGCTTCGGCCGCAGTTGACGTTTGGCACGCTGACGTTGACGTAGCTGCCCTGGCCCGGGATGGCGACGAAATCAAACCCGGCCTCGATGCTGCGGTTTGCCAAGTCGGAGAGGAAGTTGGTGAGGCTACCGTTGTTGAGATACCGCATGTGCAGGCCACGGCCAATGTCGGTGAGCTCCGGCGGGCGGGTTGGGTTTGTGGGGCGTGGAGCGAAGCCTTGCACAATGACGATGGTGTCGGGGGTATCCAAGGCCAGCGCCGTGAGCTTCTCCGCCAGGTATTCCGTCATGAGGCGGAACGTGCTGCTCGCAAACGTCACTGGACTCGACGTACCCTAAAACAAAGTGAAAGCGGGAATTTAGGGGGGAGGGATGTCGGTGTGCGTGTGTGTGTGTCAGTGTGTGTCAGTGTGCGTCAGTGCGTGTATGTGTGCGTGTGTGTGTGTTAGTGTGTCAGTGTGCGTCAGTACGTGTATGTGTGCGTGTGTCGATAAGTGCAACGATATTTTGAAGCTCAAAGCAGTGGAATGATTCGTGCGTCCAACGACACACTCACACACACTCACAACACACTCACAACACACACCTCGCTCACATGCTCACATGCAAACACGCAGTTCCAGGCAGCCATGCGTTTTGGGCCGTACCGTGGAGTTGAGGTAGAACTCCTCAAAGTCGATGAGCGCGTTGTACTGTGCTGTTCCAAGGTCAATGTAGTCCACAGCGGTTCCAGACACCTGCGCTTCCGTGCTCCCGTCCGGGTACCACTCGCCAGGAAGCAGGGCGTACGTGCTTGTCGTTGCAGTGGCCACCGCCAGGAGGATGGCCACCCGCGCGAGCGTTGCAATCTGCATCTTGTGCTTGTTCTGCAGCACACATAGGCAGGGGGAGACAGGTCACACCGATCAAAATGAGGGCACGGAATGACACAAGAAGGGAGACGAGCACAACGACGCATGACGGCGACTGATGTGTTTGGTGTTCATACATCCTACATGCGGCGTCGGGAACAAGCAAGCCCAAAGCAACTACAGCCACAGATGAGCGTCCGCGAAGACATGCGAGTGCGACCAACACCCAAGCTCGGTGCAGTCGTCAGCGTGCAACACCGCCTCAAAACCAAAACGCACGCCCTCTCTCTTCCCACACCTGTTCGCTTGGTGTGGCTCTATCTGGTGAAATGGGAAGTGCGCACTGCACAACAGAAGCGTCGTGCTTGCAAGCAACACAATGCGAACTGGAGATGCGCCCTCTTTCGTTTGCGGATGTTGAAACTGTGATTGTTGTTGTCAACCTTGAATGAACTGAAGACTTAACTGCAGAGGATCTGGAGGATTTGTGGGTTGGTTTCGGTTGTCGGTGATCTTCCACGCCATTCTGCCGTTCCACCTTCACGGTACGAGGTGCCGCTTGTACACAGCGTTAGTGCATCAACCATGGTCGCTTCACCTCGAGCCTTCAATCGGCCCTCCAGAGTGCACATACTTGACCAACGGGCTTCTGAGAACGAAGTCGGTTCAAAATGTAGGCCTGTGTGTGTGTATCTGTGTGGGTTTTGTCGTGTGTTGTTGTTGTGTGTGTGTGTGTCTGTGTGTGGTTGATTGTGTACGAGGATTCACGGCTTAGGGCCATTTAATGCATCACAATTCACACACATAACACGAACATCACACTACTCGAGGGTCGCTTTAAAGAGAGGGAAGCAACCATCATCGTCTCCAGCCCCACAAAACACACACACACACACACACACACACACACACACA